TCCCAGATTAAGGCGGCCCCGGGCTCAATCTTTGCCGAGCAGGGATTAACACCGACCCCGCGGTGCCGTGCCCCGCCTGCCCTCCTTTCCTTTCCTTTCCAGGGATTAGCATTTCGCTGCCGCTTTCCCTTTTCTTTGCTTCCCCTTTCCCTCTCCCCGTCCCCATCCGTGCCCCAAATCTGCCTGGAAACACCGCTGCAAACTCCTTTCCTTAATGAAGCACGGTCATTAACCTAATTAAGTGGCAGAGTTGCTCGGTTGGGTGTTTTTGAGCCTGGCATGAGGATATTGGGGGTGCCAAGAGCAGAGCCAGCCCTGGGGAAGTGCAGGGAGTGGGGCACTGACCCCTCCAGCATGGGGGGCTTTGTGCCATCATCCCACAGCACTGGGACAAACTGGGGGACAGTCCCTGAGGGTTCCAGCCCTTCTGACCTCCAGGGAGTCCCTCTCACACTCCCTTCTGTCCCTCTGGGCTGACCCCGAACCTGTGTGGGACTCCAGCAGGATGTGGGGCAAGGGAAGAGGACAATGTGACACCTGTGGCTGCTCAAGGCCATCGAGGTGTGGCTGCAGTGTCCCCACCTTGGTGCCACTGCAGGTCCTCAGGGCCCAAAAGGTCCCCAAAAGGCCCATTTTGAGGTGGCTGCTGCTTGGCTTAGGGGAGGACAGAAGGAGAGTGATGGGGACCCCAGAGCCCCCACACAGGTGACACTGGTGGAGCAGGGACATCAGGAGCTGGCCCAGCCCAGCATCTCCTGCTTCTCACACCCTCAGTGCTGGTAAAGGACACCAATGGTGTCACCCTCCCTCCTGTCCCCACGGGCTGGTGGCACATGGGACAGCCTCAGGGGGCTGTTATTGACTCTCTGTGCTCAGGGCTCAGGGAAGGATGACATCTCCATGGGAAATTTCCTGATCTCATTATCCCAGAGGAGCAATCCCTGAAATTAAACCCATTGCTCTGTGCAATTTTGGAAGGATGAGAGATGATCTTCAAGGAGTGTTTGGATAATGCTCTGAGGGACGCTCAGGGTGGGGGTGTTGGGGTGGCTGTGCAGGGCCAGGGGCTGCACTGATGATCCCTGAGGGTTCCTTCCCCTCAGGATATTCCAGGGTTCTGTGATCTTTTACAGATGTGGGGATGTCGCACTGAGGGACAGTGGTGTCCTTGGCAGTGCTGCGCTGGCACTTGATCTTTGAGGGATTTCCAACCCCACCAACTCTATTCTGATTCTGTGACACCTTTTTCTTTTATTTTGTGTGAGTGTCTTAATTTTCCCACATTTCCCTTTTTCTTGCAACAAATCAAACCAAGAGGGAAGTGTCACCATTTCACACAACCAGAGGATTGTGGATGCAGCTGGGGGACAGGGGGGTGGGACCACCAACCCCACTGCTGCCCCTGCCCCTTTCTCCCCTCTCTCCAGTGCTGCTCAGCTTCACTCCTTGCCCCAAACCCCTTTTGGGGAGTGGAGGTCCCCAAATGCCATGTGGACACTGGAGCTGCCTGGCAGCCCCTTTGTGAAGGCTCTGCCTGGCTGGTGCCCCCAGGAACAAGTTCTGTGGTTACACAAATGAATTCATGGCATTTACAGGAGAAGGAGCCTCAGAGCTTTAATTTCTTTCAGCAGGTTCTTTCTCTTTTCTACCACTAGACTGTCCAATAAAGGAACCATCCTCATTGAACTGACCATTTACACCTTCTCCATAGTCAACTAAACTATCACCCTGAGCTGGCTCTGCGGTGAGTTGGGGGCAGCTCCCCTTGGTCCCCCTGGTTGTGGAGGCCCCACTCTTGCTCTGCCCTGGGGCTGCATGGGAAGGATGCCCCAAGCACGACCTGCAAACCCACAGGACAAAGCCCTCCCCATTAATTGTGATGCTTATCCATCCCATTCAGTCTCTACATTAAATAAATGTGCCCTGGAGCCCCTTTAATGGTGTCTCCCTGCCAGCCCCGGGGGATCCAGCCCTTCCCCTCCCTGCCTGAGGCTCTGCCCCGTGTTCATTATGGATGAGCCTGGAGTAACCCAACTCCACTTTTGCTTCCTACTCCGGCCACCTGATCCTCCAAGCAAAGCTCCAGCCCCACTGGAGTTGTTTTCCCAGACAGATGGAGAGCGGGAGCCACAGCCCTGGGCTCAGCTTCCCTTTCCAGTGCCAGAGCATCAGCCAGCCTTGGGATCACCTTCCCTGTCCATCAGCCATTCCTGCTGCCCCCCAACCTTGGGCTCAGCTTCCCTGTCCTGAGCCAGAGCATCAGCCCTGCTTCTTTCCTGCCCTGGGCTCACCTTCCCTCTCCATCAGCCAGCCCTGGGCTCACCTTCCCTCTCCTGACCCAGAGCATCACCCAGCCCTGCTGCTCCTCAGCTCTGGGCTCACCTTCCCTATCCAGAACCAGCTCTGCTGCCCCCCAACCCTGGGCTCACCTTCCTTTGCCAGAGCTAGAGCATCAGCCAGCCCTGGGCTCCCTTTCCCTGTCCAGAGCCAGCCCTGGGCTCACCTTCCCTGTCCAGAGCACCAGCCAGCCCTGCTGCCCCCCAAACCTGGGCTCATCTTCCCTCTCCTGACCCAGACCATCAGCCCTGCTGCCCCCCAGCCCTGGGCTCACCCTCCCTGTCCATCAGCCAGCCCTGGGTTCACCTTCCTTCTCCTGACCCAGCCCTGGGCTCACCCTCCCTCTCCACACCCAGCCCCAGCCATGGATGCTCCACTGCCCCCACAGCAAATCCCACAAGTGGATGAGCCATTCCCTGCACATCTGGGCTCTGGAGCAAGGCTGGCTCTGCCAGGGTCTCTGCCGGCCCCAGCACACCCCGCAGAGGAGCTGCAGAGCCGCTGTGTCCCTGCAAGGCCAGCGGGACCCTCTCGGTGCCGGGCGGAGCCGGGCTGGTTATTAATAGCTCATTACGGTGATTGTGCGGCGCTTTCCGGGCTTGCCCGGCCCCTGGGGAGCCAGGGCAATTAAGATCCAGAGCAAGGCCTAGATAGAGGCTCTTCTGCTCATTTAATTTGTTTTTAAAAATAACAAGCTTGCTGCGTGCAGCGCTGGGGACGGAGCCAGCAAAGCCCGGGGCTGAGGGGCTGCGATGGGGGAAGCAGAGCAGAGCAATTTTGGACAATTTGTCAATTTTGTGAGCCCCTGGAGCTTTCCCTGCCTCATTCCCTACTTCCCCACCAGGATTTGTGACCACTGTGCTTGTTTTGTCCCAGGCACCAGCAGCACAGAGGAGCTGCTGCTCTCCAGCCACCCTGGCTTGGGGCTCCCCAGGGAAGCTGTGGTTGCCTTTATATCCCTGAAGTGTCCAAGATCAGGATGAACAGGGCTTGAAGCACCTTGGGATAGTGGAAGGTGTCCCTGCCCGTGGCAAGGGGTGGGATGAGATGGTTTTTAAGGTCCCTTCCATCCCAAACCACTCCGGGATTCCATGCAGGTGGGATTTTGTTCCCTTCAAACAGCTCCTGCTCCTCTGGCACAAGCTTGACCCTGCCAGTCCCCCTAAGAGCAACTGCTCCTCAGCTGCCATTATTTCTCCCTTTTTGTGAATAAAGAC